CGCGTGTTCACGTATATAGCTCTGCCTTGTCTTCAGATTGGCACCAATGACGTGAAAGACTGTGCTGCTGGTGTTGATAAGATGCTGGCAGAATTCCCAGACATTGATCGTGAGGCTATAGTGTACTGCGGAGGTAGCCATGGAGGGTTCTTAGGGGCACACTTGATTGCCAAGTATCCGGACGTCTACAAGGCTGCGGTATGTATGTGCGTATGATGTATCGTGTCACACTGGAGATACAAACTGCTTAAAGTTCGAGTGTACGATCCCGTACCTTTCGCAATCTTTGGATGTATTGTATATATATACATGAGGAATATCGAGCCGGTGTACATATCTGTTGTTCTAAGAGAGCTTGTTGGGGGATGGGTGAATATGTATGCGCATACATACAGATACCTGTTAGAAGCATAGTATCTCGCGGAGCTCTTTTTTCGACTACTGAGTATCTGGAAGCTCTTTATATATATATATATATACATACAATTTTGTATTGTTACTAATCTAAACGCGTATCTCTACTCTCTGAACAGGTGCTGCGAAATCCAGTGACCAATCTGGTCGAAGAGGTCTCCACAGCCGACATTCCCGATTGGGTGTATGCTGAAGCCGGGCTTCCCTACAGAAGCACTTTAAGAAAGGAAGACCTAGACAAGTTATACGCATTATCGCCGATATCAAATGATTTAAGCAAGATTAAAACCCCGACACTGTTGTTGTTGGGCGCTAAAGACCGACGGGTACCTCCTTCGCAAGGTGGGTTTAAATTCGGATATGTCCTCTTGAAGTCTCTGTTATATTTTGGAACAGATTCGAGAGTATTGCGAAGTATTTTAAGAGAGATTTACAAATACTTGTACGAGTCGTGTGTGTGTGGATGTGACGTGACTGGGTTGACGCCGCTGCGAGAGCTTAGAATTAGTTCTACGCTTTCGTCGCGGTATAATCGCTGGGTACCTATGTATTTGGGTGGAATCGCGCGACTAAAGTAGTGAACTTGAGGTGCTCTCGAATATTACACATGATTCAAAACCAAGGGGATTTGTTTTCTCCTGTCTCCTCCTAGCTATCATTGAACATGAATGGAGGGTATGTGATGTATGTTGCTATCTTTCCGCTTAATTTTATGTCGTCCAGCTATGTATTCTTGTGCTGCAGAATGATCAAATTTCTATTTGGAATGAGCGTAAGCGATATATGTTGCACTCTTTCTCCATTTTCTAGTTTAAGGTATTTTATTTACAGTATAATGGATTGATTGATATAAATGTTTCTCCGATACCTATCACCGCGCAGGCTTACAGTTCTATCGAGGCCTTCAGGCTGCGGGGGTCAAGTCGAAGGTGTACTGGTTCCCAACACAGTCACATCCCATTGATGATCCCGGGTGCAACGCAGACTGCTGGATTAACTCTGCGTTATGGTACCACGATGCGCTGAAAAATACTTATTAGGCAATAGTACTACAGACAGAAGCAAATAAAGGTCTTTGTGCATCTGATAGTATGTATGTATACGAGGACAAGAATAGTTAGGATTGGTTTTTTATTATTATACTAAAGTTCGAACTCATTATCTGACGCTTGTGCTAGAGAATTCGCGTAGCTGATTGAATACAGATACTGAATGTAGCCGTGAATGGATACCCGAATGAGGATTCAACATAATATGACTCAGCTATAGCTATGCGCTACATAGTGGACTGGGACTAGACCGGCTACTGTTCGTGAGTATTTCGAGAAGTATACAGCATCTTTTCTTAACATCGAAGCTTATAGATGTGTACATATGTATCTTGCAAGATATTTCATTACGGATTGGGTATAAAAAAAAAGTCGAATTAGCACGCAATGGACCATTGTGGTTCTACTTTTTTAGTGCGAGCCTGCGCGCGAGGTCAAAAACTTTATGCTCTTGACTGAGGAAAAGAACTTGTGGTGACTTCTCTGGGAGACAGCGATGATAGTTGGCACTTGACACCGCCAGCGCCAACCCGCCCTGCTACTGGTCTGAAGTCTGAAGGAGAGAATTTAATTTTTTTGAAATTTGAATCATAGCATTCTTCTTCTACAGAGAAAAGGAGTGAAGGACACAAACAAGCTCTTCTAAATCCACAATTCCACACTAGAGTGACTAGTCACTACCTTAATCCGAGCACTGGTTGTGAACAGAGAGAGAGAGAAGAATATATAATATAGTGCTACATTTGCTATACCATTCTCTTTTCTTTAGAGTACCTTTTTCAAAAAAGATCGGATTTCCAGGGAGGTTGTTCGACTACCTGGGTTTGGGATGAGCACTGGTAATTTGGTATATTTACAAATTAAATAGCAAGTGACCGAGTTTGGCGTGTGATGAGGTTTATGGATCGATGTCTTCCAATAAACTGGAAAGTTGAAACCTCAGTTCGTTATTAATACTCATTTGTATTTTTGTTATTATTAATAATAAAGTAAAATAATACAGCATTAGAACGTTTATTATACATCAATGTACAGCCTCTACTGTCTAATACAGGCAGTATGGATTTTTTTTTTAAAACAGTTTTATTTTTTATTTTTTAACCATCGATTTCAAATCTGGGGGTAAGTGAATGACTACTTGGTACATGTACTGAGCAGATATCAGATTTTTTTTACGTTGAAAAACATAGACTTCTGAAAATAGAACAGAAGGCTATGTGAGAAAATGGAAATTAAATGCTTTTTATGTTTTTTTTAAAAACTGGCAACTGCATACTGCATAGGTACAAAGTTGACGTTAGATCTGCTCAGTTTTATGCGCTGTTGCTTCGTTTTTCTGTATAGCCAAAACCAGATGTGTGTGTGATTGGAATCGATAAGAGGCTGTTCTGACCAATAGAATTTCTTTACTTTACCACCGTCACGCGTGTGGTGTATATAAGCTTTTTCCATTGGTCTACATAATGTCGTAAAATATCTGGATTTAAAATAAGCATCAATGTCGCGATGAGCACTCCGGTCTTCAGGCTCAGTCTCAAGCCCTCATCCTAAGTCCAGCACGCGAGAAGCGCTCCAACAGTCCAAGTCCCCAAGACTCCCAACACTCAAGCCTGAAACTGTGGCCCACGCGAGCATTACGATTTCAGTATAATTTATTTTTTCCCTGATATCATATGTACGACTTAAAAGACGAAAGTGTAAGAATAAATTACGAATGACGATGAACTGGTTAGGACTAGAGATATCCTTCGCAATACATATAAAAGCCCAGCTAGTTGGGATCGGAAACTTCATTCCATTCCTCATAAATCAACAAAATCAATAACCATGTCCGCCTCTTCAGCCCCTATCCGTATGATGCATACGACCAAAGCGCTCAGAGCCTCTAAGCCTGCGATGGTATCGGCGTCTGCTTTCCTGGAGTCCTCATTCGCCAAGTCTCGAGCGACTATGGCGAACACCAGAACGCCTTTGCAGCAGACTATGCGCAAAGCAGACCACGAGTCGTCTATCTACTTGATGAGTTCATTTCAGCGATAGCGACGGGCCTTTTCCGACATACCGTTTTCGAAATATCTGATCGATGTGTACAACTGTCCCCACGGAAACCTACCGAGTGCTGACTCGTGAAGAAAAGTTCATGCGAACAGCAACGAAGAATTATATGGACCTGATGATGAAGGATTGCAATGTATTTGCTCTTGATTAGTCCGACCACGAATTATTAGAATAGAAAAGAAAGTACAGTATTAAACTTCAAAAATCAAATATAAATCAAATACACTCTGAAAGACGTAGTGTACTATAAACGTGAAAATAGTTTACGTCTCGCATACCCGACGGCGACGAATTATATGATATAGCATTGTATAGCTCTCCGGATAAGTTGACATTGACATTGCATAGCAAGTAGTGAGATATCGTACCCGCCTAGTGCTATCACACTAAACAATCCAAGAGGAAGAAATTGATTTAAAAAAAAGTATGATAAGAACTTCGGAATGGCCCTATGCATACTAGTTTCTCACAGAATACTACACAGCCATTGTAAGGCGATTTTCTAATTGTAACATATTGCACTGAACATCCGTCGTGTATCCACTTCCAGGAATTGAATTTAAACCCGCACGTATTAGGAGGAAATTGTTCACTAAATAACTAAATAGTGTAGGCACATAAGGCAGCGACAGAGCAAGTAGTAAATCGAGTTTCAATTCTGCACCAATTGATGATCCTCAAGACGATGAAGGATATATTGTGTATTCTTCTGTTATATGCGAGTATCTTGCACAGTTCCTTTCACCGCTGAAGTTTGTGTATAATGTTCGCCATTGCGTTGTCAAAAGCGCGTGGAAGTGGTAAAGCGGAGTATTTTGATCCACGTCACAAGATCCCTCCTAATATTATAAATTGTGTGCACGTATACTTCGAAACAAGCGGTTGTATTTATCGTAAGTATTCAATCAAAAATATTGAAGACATGCTATAGAATTTTATTGCAGTCAGCAACACGTATATCAGAAAATTACATCGTCTTTAGTGTATATCTCAACCAAAGTATAGGCCACAGGTCAAAGTCGACGATGAAACTTGCGTCTATACATTATTCAACCTCAATCATCTTCACCGACCCTAATCGTATTGCGCTGTATTGTCAAGATGCTGTATTGTCAAGATTGGAAGAAGACTCCCTCGAAGGTGATGATTGGGACAATTGGACTGTGGTCAGTGGACATCCATAGGCTATGAGACCATAAGGTCTACGAGGTCATGAGGGCCATGAGGGCTATGGCCCTTGAGGACAATGCTTTGTTCTACTGTACAGTTACTACAGTATTAGTAAAACCACGGCCCTCTGGATTTGGGTTCGTAGAGAGAAACTTTGATTTCCGCTCGAGACCCTATCCAGAGGGCCGTGGTAAAACTCATGTAAAACCAGATAAAAATTACATAAAACATTTAATAATAATAAAAAGAAGTATATAAAAAAGTGAGTCAATGACGAAGTCCGTGGTGGTGCTCGACTGCTCGTTGCCTGTCGGCCTACCAACGACCAGATAGATCTTTGGCTCTTTGCTCAGTTTCATTTTATATATTTTTTATTTTCAAAAACAAATGTAATGAAACATAGCCCTCTAAAATTCAAATTGATACGAAAGCTATGACTCCTATGAGTGAAAGGAGTATTCATTTTTATATTAGAAACAAAATGTATTGTGCATATCAGAAAAGATGTGAAAACAAAAACCAGTTGCAAAGTGCAAACCTGCAATGCTTTTTGGTTTTTACTTTTAGGGACTCTGTCTATACGACACCCGTCATTATAAAATTATTAACGCCCGAGCCCGAGCCCAAAACCGTATCCAGTCCATTCGCAAAGGTAGGTTCGATATTTGTGGGCCCAAGCAAGGCGACCTTGACCCCCAAGTACCGAACTATTAAGCGTGTACACTAAAGTATCTCTACCGATACAACAGCCGAGTATCAGTTTTCGGTAAATAATCTACATCTATCACCTGAAATCGAATACAACGCTTCAGATTACTAGAGAGAGAGCCAATGTTCTGTTAACCCTGTGAGTGTGATTTCGTGGATCCATACTTCTGAATATTATAAAAATATATCGATTCACAGCCTTCTAAACTATTCAAGAAGTAAAGAAGGCAAGGTAAAATATGATCGTTTGGTTTGCACAATCGCACTGTAGTTCAACAATGTTGAAATTTTTGTCCCGTTCTGTTGTGAATTTCAGGTCCAAGGGATTTTGTCCTGTTCTGTGATTTCATTTACCGCATTTTTATTTAGAACATTCTATGATTTCAGTCAAACCTTTATATGTCCAGTTCCCGGGATTGGCAAATATTTGGGCATGTATAGAGGTACGGCAAGTCTGGGTCAGTTTCATACCATCAGGTTCGGGGTCCAACATATGGCCCATGGGTCACACAAGGAGCTATCCTAGGCGCACTCATTACTGGCGCTCACCTTTGATAATACAGTCATGTTTATATGTTTTCTTCTTCTTACCAACAGTGAGCTTATCTATAATTATACTAGATACTCCATTCATACCAGACGATACATCCTGCTTAGGCGTAGACAGTGGTGTCGATCCGCCTGCTTCACTCGTTGTAGGTGCGTTTTGTGTCGATTTGTCTGGCTCTGTCTGTCTGTTATTAGTGACACCAGACTCCCACCTGTCATTCGGTGGCTGGCATTTATCTGTAGACAGGCAGTAACCGATTGAATTTGAGCCATACCCCTCGCCAAGATGCACGCCACAAAAGGCATGCATACCTCGATCGCAACCAGCACATTTGTGTACACCACCCACTGGGTGCGTCGCAGTGCATCCTTTCGCACAACAGCGTTCACCACTAGAAGTGTCTCCCATCAGGATATTAATAGTCGGACCTCCAAGAGCAGGCTGCAGGACCGGCCTAAAAAGACCTGACTCATATATGGGGTTGGCCTAAATAGAAACTGAACATATAAAGAGGTATTGGACATATAAAGAGGTGGACACCTTAAAGAGGTCGACATATAAAGAGGTTTGCCAACAGCATTTTTTTTTAGAACATAAATTCATAGGCTTCTATGTTCAAAATAAATTTCACTCAGTCCATATACATATAAATACTAGGGCTCGAGCGTTAATAATCTTATAGTGACGGGTGTCGTATAGACAAAGTCGTATAACACTGCCCATATGTGTGTGCTAAATAAAACACCGCTAACGTCAGTGGGGAACTAAAAGCTCTGAAAAAGAATAAGAGGGGGAAATGATAATTTATATTTTTGGGTTTTCGACTTTCGTACCCTTATTTGTTTCGCGAAAGCGCGCCCCATGGTTAAACTGCAACTTCAATTTTGGTTCACGTTTGAGTCCAGATTTCCAATTTCTTTTTGGCTGTTGTTCGGGGGGGGGGGGGTTCGGACTGTTCGTTTTCTTTTACGTTAATTTCTAATTTTGGGTTTTCGTACCCTTGTTTCTTTTGGGAAAGCGCGTCCCATGGTTTTAAAAGTGCAACTTCAATTTAGGTTCACGTTTCGGTTCAGATTTCCAATTTTTGTTGTTGTTGTTGTTGTTGAGGGGAGGCGAGGAAGCCCCCAATAACCGTATCTCTTCTACTGCTGGTATCACATCGTGTTTCTTGTATTGGGCCTTTCTATATTCATATACAGGGTCTCAAATGGGCATAAAAAGCTTCATTTAATTCCTTATTTGGAATAAATAAAGTTCTGAGGGACCTAATAGCTAAAGCTTTTAGTGATAAAACATGCCGCTATGTATGAACTATGATACTTATGTATTTAGCAATTTTACACGCCCCCCCGTCGGTCTGCCCTCTGCTGGCCTCTGGATTTGGGTCACTGCTTGCTAATGTAGTTATTTATATATATAAACAAATTACAACATTGATTTCTGCTCGAGACCTCAGACTCAGAGGCTCAGCCGGTACAGTGACTGTACACTCTAGTCACAACCACACTTTTTAATTCTTTAAAAAAAAACACAGTCACAAACAGAGATTTCGAGGTTGGATCTTGTACTCTAATATGAATAATGAGTATTTTCTCTTCAGTATTTACACCGCAAAATATTGGGTAGACCAATGGCCTCCATACAACAAAGAGCCATAGATACTTTCTTTATATTAAAAAACAAAATGTCTATTGTCTCGTAAATATTTATCTTTGTTTTAATAAAAACAAATACTACATATATGTATATATATTTTTCAAGAAGACTACTATGTACTCTCGCTCTTTTCTCTCTCTACTACTACTACTTACAGTCTAAATATATTGTACAGAGGGAGGAGGCTAATATTTTTTAATGATAGGGTTCAGTTCAAAAGTAGGGGGTTTTTCGTATATTGTTTTAAAAAACAAAACAAAAACAAGCAACAAAAAAGAAAACCGGCAAACCCCCAAGGGGCCCAATGTTTCAGGTCTCTTTTAATACTCTCTTGGTGAGTTGGGCCCAATCATAAAATCTAAAATGGTAAATATTCAGAAGCAATGAAGCAAGAAGATAGAAGAAATATTTGTTTAAAAAAAACAATCTAATGCTGAATTGCTGCTGATTTATATAAAATTGTTGACGTCTGCCTCTGTGATATGTCCTGGAATCTTGTACTGTACTCCTTCCCGATACCGTTTTTGATTAGGTTTCCAATATAAATTAATATCTCTATGCTCCTCATCCGATTGTTTTTTGCTCTTTGATAACATTTATTCATTTTATAATTTGTTATTTGTAGTTTTGTTCTTGATATGTATGATACTGATACTTGTAAAAAAAGGTTTTAGCGGTTGAATAAATCTAAACCCACTCATTTAAAAGTCAGTGAAGTCAGGCTCTCTGTCCTTCCATAAACCACAAACAATGACAAAAGCCGCAAGGTTTTTTGATACCAGCTCAGGTTCAATGATATATACTGTATCAGTGGACTGTGCAGAACTCAGAGTCGCACACGACGCACATACTTCTTACTCCCACCCTGTGTAGACTCTCTCTCTCTACTCTAGATCTAGAGTAGTAGTAATAGTTGCTTTTAGTTTTTGCACAACAACTAAATTTATAAAAATCAAAGTGTACTTCTCAAGTTCACTCTCAGACTCTCAGTGTAGAGTTGTATACTGTAGACTCTATTACAGTGTAAGTCAGAAATTGAACATCTCAATATCTCAAGTCCCTCTCAGACGGAGTCAGACCTCGCACAACAGCCCAATGGAGTTAAATATATATATATATGTATAATTTGTTTTAAAAGAGCTTATTTATGAAACCACACTATCTGGCCGGGGGCCGCGGTACATTTTACAAAATAAAGCATTTGTATTTTTTTTTAATGAACCAATAAAAGACTATATTTAAAAAGTAGGGCTACTGAGCGTCTGACACAATTTTTTTCTGCTATGACTATGTATTTACGAGTAAAAACGGTGCTTTCTTGTGGGGTTTTATTATTTAGTTTTACGTCTGTGGGAGCCTGCTGGGGCGGGGAGGCACTGGGAGCAGGGAGACAGATGAGCTTGTTGTGAGGACAGTCATGACTCAAAGAGTCAGGACACAGGATTGGTGATTCATGTGGGGTTCTCGACTTCTGTCTCTCCTCTGGGACTGATGGGTTGAAACTTGAGTAAACTAATTTATTCCTATGTACTAGGGCCAATTCCAAAACCCGGACCTCGGCTATCACTGTATTGTTAATATCAGATATGCTCTACTCAATGCCCTCTAGAGAGTAGGTTTCTGGTTTCAGTAACGCTTTTTCCAAATCAAAGAAAACACATTTATGTATTTGTATAAAATCTGACACGGTGCAGAGGTTTTAATGGGAACATATTCACTACTGTATGCTAAATTAAAATTGCATTTGATACATCACGCGCCGCGCTTTTATTAATTTTCGCTGATGTTGTTCCTACCCATCGTTTAGCAAAGTCTCAAGAAAGGTACGTACCAATCATCAGTATGTGAATTAGATACAATATATCTCCCGTATTCTTTAACGCTATATTTCTTAGGTGGATCAGTTGCGAGTTAATACCTTCTGTGAGGTTAACACATTGTACCTTTTTTGTAGTACGTGTTGCAACTGAGTGATTTGCATTTACAGCTGTGGGTGAAAATATAGTACTGTGGGTGAACACATGGTACTTTTCACTTTGTAGCATTTCCGTATCCATCCGTAGCATTACTCCTTGTTACCTACGTATATGAAGCAAACTATATACTGCCATTACCTTTCTAGGAACCAATAAAAGTAATAAATGTGCACGATTGTTGAATATGATACCATTGTATTCAGTTGATTATTTATATTTATATACTTTTGAAAGCCCTTCATCACCCATTAACTGAGAGGACATAAATATTCACATCGCGTTGCAAAACTTGTACCCTCTCGTGTGTTAAGCGAAGTAAATGCAATCATATCCCTCTGTAAGTTTCACATCGGCCATGTTTGTCTCGAAACCGCTATGGAGATTCAGCTTTACACAAGTAATCACTGGCCTCGGTATCACATCCGTACCACACACCAGCAGCTGTGTATAGTGGCGAATTGGTATAAATACTGCGGTTTTCGATGGTCGAAAACCGGGACCCTTTATCAAGGTGTCTTTAACATCCAAAAAGCAAGCGACCTGCGAAAAGTATTAAGGGATTTGGGTGGATGAGAAAGTGTGGTATCGAACGCTCGCACGAAGAAGAAGCTGAACTTAACTCATACTTTCGTTGGAAGCCAAGTCGAGGCCACTTTCAAAGACACGTAGCTCGAACTGTATTATATGTCGAATGTCTTGTTGTCTGTGATTTTATTTGGGCTTGGTTCCAATCTTGTCGATGCGGTTTGAATCTGATATAATTGATACTGTCTAAGAGTCGAAATGTGCTGATCAGTTTGCCATACACACAACACACTTACCTTTGTCTGGTTCCGCGGGTCTAGTGCGCGATAGAAGCGCTTGCCTTCTCTCCCAGCACTCCACACCGAGAACGAAGACAATCGGTTCAGCAGATGATGCTAAGACGCAATTAAAATCGCAAAAATGTGTTTAATAGGAATTCATAGTTCTTGACTTGCTTAACTGGGAATAGAATTGGGATGCACTGAGGAACTAAATCAGACGAAAGAACACATTGTGGAACACCGAATATAGTGCATTTGTACAAATAGGTAAACGATGCACTCTGTGTGATCAGATAAAAAGGCGAACACTGCTGAAACACCAACAACACCGACAAGAAGTATACTTTGAAACAGTCTTCACGGATACAAGCTCCGCCATTTGAATGGACATACCTCTATATGCTTTACTCGGAGATCGAATATGTCCTGCCATTTGACACTGTGACTTTGGGCTTGTGCATGATACCTTGAACCAGGAAATATGAGCTATGATGAGATGCGCTGACCCATGTATATGCCATAAATGAATCAGCCTGAAATCAAATAGAAGTTGTGGTGAAACCAGTTGGACGTGTGATCGCAGTTGTACCTATACATCACAAGCGGCTCGCACACTTTTGCCAATGCTCCGAAATTATCCAGATGCTTGTATAGAAATATCATATCCTCCGGTGTTCCTGGGCCACTTTCGTCAAAACTCTGTAGAAGATGAAGGTTTCATGGTCAAAGCTAGGATCTTTCGTACGATGAAAATCTTTGAAATCCAACATTAGACCATCATCCATTGCGAATCAATCCGTTTCAAGGTAAGCTTCAATTCTGTCAGATCCACTTCTATCGACAAGTACCACGAAAGGTGTATACAAATCAATGCCCAAAGAAAATTGTCCCACACCACGTACCCCCACGCTCTCGAAGGTGTCCCTGCTCATAAACCATGTGGGTTTGATAAGTGTACACTCCCTATATCTTTGTGTCAATAGCTGTCTCCCCTCCAACGCATTGATCCATTGTGTATATCGGGGCGTGGCGTTTTCATCTCCCCTAGTGACATTGCAGCCCACAATGACATGCTTAGACGCGCCCATTGCGCTACCTTTGATTGATTTTCTATGTACATCATGGTCGCTGACGATACCTCCTTCTGCCGTATATTTATCCTGCATGAGCGAGACATTTCAACAATTAGTAGCGTATATATATATATAATAAATTTATATATATATATATATGTATGTGTGTGTATGTGTGTATACGTATATATATATATTGTGAGTACTTTTTAAGTACAAAACAGACAAACACAAACTGGAATGTAAGGAACCTTTACTGAATACTAAAGTAATGTATTAGCTGCTCGAAACTGCGAATACTGATCACTTCATGATATCTGCTTAATATATATATATATATGCGTATATATATATATATATATATATATATATATATATATATATATATGTGTGTGTGTGTTATATATAGTAGTACGTAGTACTAC